TGAACCCAGGAGGTAGAGGTTGCAGTGAGCCAAGACTACACCATTGCTCCAGCCTGGATGACAGAGTGAGACTCTGTCTCAAAAAAAAAAAAAAAAAAAAGGAATAAATTAGTCGGGCATAGTGGTACATACCTTTAGTCCTAGCTACTCAGGAGGCTGAGGTGGGAGGATAGCTTGAGCCTAGGAGTTCAAGGCTTCAGTGAGCTATGATCACACCACTGCACTCCAGCCTGGGTGACAGAGCAAGAGACCCTGTTTTTTAAAACACACACACACACACACACACACACACACAATATTTAGAAGATTCATACTGAAAGAGAATATGTATTCAGGATCCTGCCACTTTGAGGTAATGGCAATTAACATTTAGCATTTTTTCCTTCTAGTCTTTTGAATGAAGTTATGATGAGACGTTTCTCAAATTCAGTAATGAGTGCCCATCCCGCCGAGCTCACCCCCTCAAAACCTCAAAAGAAAACAAAAGAATCATAGCTTTCCTGTTGGAAAGTCAGTCCTTAAGGCTTCTAATTAATTTCTTTCAGGTGGAGCTGATCAGAATAATGTTCAGCATCAACCCCCTGGAGAACCTGAAGGTGTACATCAGCAGTCGGCCTCCCCTGGTGGTCTTCATGATCAGCGTGAGTGCCATGGCCATAGCTTTTCTGACCCTGGGCTACTTCTTCAAAATCAAGGAGATTAAATCACCAGAAATGGCAGAGGTACAGTATGTTCTGACTTCTCCTGGGCTGGCTGGCCCTTGTGGAGTGGGGCAACACTCTGTGGCTTGTCATATAGCTTTCTTGGGTTTTGGACTTTCTCTCCTAGTGAGAAAGGTCGGTATTTATTCAGAATTTTCTGTTTTCCATCTCCCCAGGACTCAACTTTGTTAGGAAATACCTAGATAGGTATTGTTCAATTTAAATGTGCTACCAGTTTCAGTTAGACTATTTCAGCAGTGAAACAGATGCATTTTGGAGAGTACATTTGTAAAATGATCTGTGTCAAAAAGCTGGAGAACTCACCTTTTTAATATTCCATCTCAAATGGGTTCATTGCTGTTTTAGAAAACTGAACATTTGGTATTTTAAAACCACATATCATCATAGAGTTTTATCAGCTGTACTAATCGTTTTTTTCATGAGATAAGGAATCTTAAAGAAATTCAAAACAGGATCTAATTACCAAATATTTTTGTTTTTTGAGATGGAGTCTCGTTCTGTCACCCAGTCTGGAGTGCAGTGGCGTCTCGGCTCAGTGCAACCCCCACTTCCCGGGGTCAAGCGATTTTCCTGCCTCAGCCTCCTGAGTAGCTGGGATTACAGGTGCCCACCACCACGTCTGGCTAATTGTTGTCTTTTTAGTAGAGATGGGGTTTCGCTGTGTTGGCCAGGCTGGTCTTGAACTACTGACCTCAGGTGATCCACCCATCTCAGCCTCCCCAAGTGCTGAGATTACCGGCGTGAGCCACTACACCCAGCCTAATTCCTGTCTTTTAATAGATTCCTTGGGTGCTTTCTCTTACTCTTTTTCCTTCTTCTTGGGTTTGTTGTTGGGTGGAGGTGGGGGTGGGGG